GAGTAGGTATGTGTTAGAATAATGTTTTTTTCTGGTTTTAAACGAGCTTATTTCGCGTTTTGACACTGTAATTTGATATTGCCCGGAAGGAATCGCCCTCTGTGGGTACCCTCTTCCGATGGTTGGTAGAAATTAATTCCTTTCGTTGAGACCTTTCATTAGAGTACCATGAAGGATAAAACTAGTTCCACTCCCCCTCCCCTCCTTCCCCTCCACTTCGTACTTTGATAAGATGACAGAAAGAAGGGCAGTAGTTGGTAAAAATCGGTTCCTTTCGTTGAGACCCTTAATTAGAATAGAGATAAAATTAATTCCCCCCCCCCCCCCGACCCCGTCGCTCCCTGATCCAATTTCTTAAAGTTTAACTTAGCACCACTAAAATGCAAAATCTGAGACCAATTGGTTGTCCTATGTAAAAGTTAAGCACGTTTTACTGTCAAAAACAGGATCTCAGGAAATAATTCGTGGGGGAGGGGGGGAGCCCCTTTTAGACAGGGAAATTTTATGGCCGTCTAGCACACTTTGAAGGTATAGGCTACCTACTGCCACAAACTCCAGGACTCTAGATTTCATTCGCATGAAGGGATTCACCCGCAATTCACGATTGATTCCACCGTCAGTAGTCGGGGGCTGCCACATTCCCTTTGTCAGTACCCACTTCCGACGTCCCCTTGACCCGCAATTCGCATTTCGGTGGATTTCACTAAAAATCTTCCACAAAAGAATCAATTTTTGGGGTAGTTCTCAAAGCTCGAGTTTCTATTGGCGACTGGAGAAAGAGAGACCACGATTCGAGCTCTAAGAAACGTTCGGGCGCTCAAACTCGACTACCCCTCGAAGACGCGCGCCATGCGAAAGGTCGTGAATTTCGCCCAGGGGATTAAAAAAAAATTCGTCGCGCAGGAATTGTGGGCGCTTATAAGATCTTTCCGCCAACACCAATTTGAAAACAAGCTCAGGGATGGCGCCCAGATGTCGCCTTAAAATTTGCAAAAATGCGTTAAAAAGGCTGGTACTTTATTTACAGTATCACGAGGGGTTAACGTACTGCAGGGGGTATGGAATATTCCCCCTCCCCAGGAGGAAGCGAGAGATTTAATGTTGATTTCGTCATAAAACCTTCGTGCACTGGGGGCATTGTTGAAAAAGGATAATCGGGTTACCCCTACCTGGGAGATATTCCATATCCCACAACACCCCGTTCCGGGGTTTTTACCCGAAATGAGTTAAAAAAAGGACAATACTTGTTTTACAGTATCACAAGAACCTTCAAGGGTTAACGTACTGCAGAGAAACGTAGCACTGGGGGGTTGGGGGTTTTGAAAACTTACCCCCTCCCTTTTCTTCTTCGTTAAGGCTTACTCCAGACCTCTCTGTGATAAGTTCTACCTCAAAACGTTCAGCTTCAGCCCTAAGTACTTTGTTTAGTAATCAGGGATAACCCACAGACCCCCCCCCCCCATTTGGTATTCTTCATCCTTAACTTCATAATTACTGGAAAAGTACTTAGGGTTGGATACTCCAGTATACAAATGTATTATGACTTATTATGACTTTAAGTGTATCAGAAGAATATAAGGTGCGAAGAGGTGATTGAAGGACCTAGCCTAAGTAGCACTCGAACCTAACCTCACGAACACTTGAACCTACTCTTCAATCACCTCTTCGCGCATTATACTCTCCTGATACAAGATCTCTCACCTAACCTAACGATCACTAACTTCACTAATACTCTATCCTAACCCCTTTAATCTTCTCCCTTATATTCTAAGTAAGAAATCTTGTATCAGGAGAATATCATGTACGAGGAGGTGGTTGAATGTTATGTTAAATTATTAGTGAGGTTAACTTAGAGTGCGAGTTAGGTTAAGTGAGAAATCTTGTATCAGGAGAATATAATGTGCGAGGAGGTGATTGAAGGTTATTTAAAGTACGAGTGAGGTTAGGTTAGAGTGCTAGTTAGGTTAGGTGAGAAATATTGTATCAGGAGAATATAATGTGCGAGGAGGTGATTGAAGGTTATTTAAAATATGAGTGAGTTTAGGTTAGAATGATAGTGAGGTTAGGTCAGAATTCTTGTATCAGGAGAATATAACGTGCGAGGAGGTGATTGAAGGTTATTTAAAGTACGAGTGAGGTTAGGTTAGAGTGCCAGTTGGGTTAAGTGAGAAATCTTGTATCAGGAGAATATAATGTGCGAAGAGATTGAAGGTTCGGATAAAATATTAGTGAGGTTAGGTTAGAGTGCTAGTCAGGTTAGGTCAGAATTCTTATATCAGGAGAATATAACGTGCGAGGAGGTGATTGAAGGTTATTTAAAGTACGAGTGAAGTAGGTTAGAGTACTACCTAGTTAGGTTAGGTGAGAAATATTGTATCAGGAGAATATAATGTGCGAGGAAGTCATTGAAGGTTATTTAAAATATGAGTGAGGTTAGGTTAGAATGATAGTGAGGTTAGGTGAGAGTCTTGTATCAAGAGAATATAATGTGCGAGGAGGTGATTGATGGTTATTTAAATTACGAGTGAGGTTAGGTTAGAGTGCTAGTTAGGTTGGGTGAGAAATATTGTATCAGGAGAATATAATGTGCGAGGAGGTGATTGAAGGTTATTTAAAATATGAGTGAGTTTAGGTTAGAATGATAGTGAGGTTAGGTCAGAATTCTTGTATCAGGAGAATATAACGTGCGAGGAGGTGATTGAAGGTTATTTAAAGTACGAGTGAGGTTAGGTTAGAGTGCCAGTTGGGTTAAGTGAGAAATCTTGTATCAGGAGAATATAATGTGCGAAGAGATTGAAGGTTCGGATAAAATATTAGTGAGGTTAGGTTAGAGTGCTAGTCAGGTTAGGTCAGAATTCTTATATCAGGAGAATATAACGTGCGAGGAGGTGATTGAAGGTTATTTAAAGTACGAGTGAAGTAGGTTAGAGTACTACCTAGTTAGGTTAGGTGAGAAATATTGTATCAGGAGAATATAATGTGCGAGGAAGTCATTGAAGGTTATTTAAAATATGAGTGAGGTTAGGTTAGAATGATAGTGAGGTTAGGTGAGAGTCTTGTATCAAGAGAATATAATGTGCGAGGAGGTGATTGATGGTTATTTAAATTACGAGTGAGCTTAGGTTAGAGTGCTAGTTAGGTTGGGTGAGAAATATTGTATCAGGAGAATATAATGTGCGAATTGAAGGTTATTTAAAGTATGAGTGAGGTTAGGTTAGAATGATAGTGAAATTAGGTGAGAAATCTTGTATCAGGGGAATATATTGTGGGAGGAGGTGGTTGAAGGTTAGGTTAAATTATTAGTGAGGTTAGGTTAGAGTGCGAGTTAGGTCAAGTGAGAAATCTTGTATCAGGAGAATATAAGGTGCGAATAGGTGATGGTACAAGTAGCACCAGAGCCTTCGGGGGTTAGCGTACTGCAGAAGAATGTAGCACCGGTGGCCCCTGGAGGTATGGAATAACCCCCCAGTAAAGGAAAACCGGGTTTTCCTTAGGAGGAATGAATCATCTTTCAAACACCTTCATCTAAAGTTTTATATTGCTTTAGTAGCCTTTCTAAAATTATATGAAAATCCTTTTTAGAAAGTTTCTTCAGAGGTTGCTAAAGCAACGTAAGAACGAAATGCAGTGGTTTTTAAAAAAGGCCCTGAAGAATTCTTCGGGAAATTTAAGAATTTTTAAGGGGGTGAGGGACAATTTCCCCGAGTTGGAAACCTTTAGTTTTGTACGTAAAGAATCTTTTTATTTTTCCATTAAATAACCTCCCTCTAAGCCTCCTCCAATCTAGAGTTAAACCCCAAGAGCTTCATTCGAAACCACAGGCCTCTCAATTCAGTTTCTTTTTTAATTTAAATTTTCACTTGCCATCTGCGTCGTACTCGTACAATAAATCAAGTGCTCCGCTGTAATTAAACAAATTCGCGAATTTTAAACGCAATTAATTTTTGTCCGTTAATTTCGGCATGATTTTAATTAATCGCGAGCGGTTTACGTAAAAACCCCGCCATCTGAGCGTTAACGAAATTAATTAACTCCGATGTGTGTGTGTGTTTCGCAACAAAATTAAATCTCTCTCGGCTTCGGCCGAATCTCTAGAGGTCGAGTGGTAATTTAAAATAATGTCGGAACGCTAAGAGACGTTATAGGTAAATGCGGGTGAAATTGGAACAAACAGGCCACTAAGATATGCCGCGCTTCGGGAATGAAAAATAAACAGCGCGCTTGATGTCCGTTCCCTGCTTTATTACGGGGGGATTCGGGGATAAAATGCTCTTTTCGCTGATCTCGGGGGTTTACAGCGGACGTGGATATATGAAGCTGCTATATCCGACTTTCCGAAATAATGAAACGTAATGCTGTTTTCTTTTTCGGTAACGTTCTTAATTAGATTGGTTTTGGTAGCGTCCGAAATAAACAAAGCCTGTAATTAGGATTCTAAAAATATAGCTAATGCGAATTTAAGGACATTTGCGTACACTTCTGAGAGAAGTGCGTACAAAAAAAACCTATTCCTTACTAATGTTTCTTCCTTGAAACATAACGATCTTATTCTGAATACATTCAATCACCCACAGGTGAGCTCGATGCTGCCTTTCAGTACTTGAACTAAAAAAATGGAACAGAAGTGAAGTGCGTCTGAACCCAATGCATACCTTTATTAATTATCTTTTTTATTTATGCCTACTCTTCAACGTTTAATATTAACAAAGGCAAGACATTTTTAAACTCTTAGGAATAAGAACCGAGGTTTTTGAGTTAACAATGCTACTGATGATCCTCAACCCCCTGTGATTCGGGAACAGCTTAAAGGGAAATAGTTTAAATTGTGTCCCAGAACCAATAGGTACAATCTCACTTTAACGACGGAATGAAATAGCACATTAATCAAGCTTGACCTCCACTAAAAGAAGATTTCATGCATAATTAATGTAACAGAAGACAGGTTTTTGGTTACCCGGTGGGGAAAGTGAACGCTTTTGATCAGTAGTGGTTTACCCATCGCTATGATTGGAAAGTGCTTAGTGTTGCTGTCAATTTTACAAAATATATCGTTGCAATGTTCAACTCCATCATTCGACAACGCATTAGTAAACGTAAACGAGAAATACGTAAACGTAACCGGCTGTATTTCGCCGGCTTCCCTCAACTACGCAGGCGAAATTACTTACCTACACTTGGCCGAGCAGAACGTGCCCGATTTAAATAGGGGCGCCATACGAAACGTTTCCAGCAAGTTCTACTTGTCCCTTCCCCGCAACGGCATCGAGATCTTGCGAGAGGAGGCGTTTTTAAACCTTCCGGGAGTTGCAGACATCGACCTGAATGGCAACAGAATCCAATGGATCGTCGAAAACTCTTTCAGAGATTTACCGTCGCTTGTTAGGGTGAGTTTACACAGTAACGAGGTGAGCGAAATTTCACCGCGCGCCCTTTGCGACCTACCGAAATTGGAGGAGGTCATCTTTACGAACAACAGGCTGGAGACCTTTAACCAAGCTTGGTTTTACCGGACTCCTCGGCTTAAGGTGTTAAAGTTCCAAGAAAACTTTCTTAGAAGTGTCCCGAAAGGGTGTTTCTTTAACTTGCCGAGTATTACCCAGATCCACTTTGGGCACAACCAAATCGAGTTCGTGGACAAGGACGCGTTTCGAGGTCTGAGAAGGTTGGAAACGTTGAGTTTGTTCGACAACAGGCTGAAAAACTTCGAGGTGGTTTTCCACACGCCATCAAAATTAATGGACATTTCACTGGCTTGGAATAATCTCACGTATATTTCTGATCAGATGTTGGAGACGTTGCGTCCTATCGATCTCGTGCTCACTCTAACCGGCAACCCCTGGCAGTGCGCCTGCTTTGACAAAGTAATGAACTGGAAGATGAAGAATAACAAAACGCTTGTTTTTGAGTGGTTCCATTTTCGGGAAGATGGCGTTGTCTGTATTTATCCAAAGACGAACTCGGATCAGTGTATTCAACGCAGTGATGATGATTTTCAAAAGGAGTATTGGATCCCGTTCAAATATTGCGTGATGAATTGTTAATGATGTGTATGTATCGATTATGTTGTAGATAACAGAAGATAAATGAAGACCCAGGAATTATTTAACCATCGGCTAGTTCATAGAAAATTTGTCTTTTTCTCTAAATCTGAAAATCAAAGATTGACAATCTGGTTTGACTGCACAGAAATAAACACAGATTTAAAATCAAATGATTGAATATTGTAACCCCTATGTTTACAATTAATTCTTATTGATCTTAGAAACACCTTATTCCATTTTCTATTCTTGGAGGCGCAGAGCTAGTAACAAGGATTAAAGTAACTTGTTGGAATTGCCAAGTAATGGGTCATACTATTCACAATTGTCCACATCCTAGGAAATTGTTGTGTTACCGCTGCGGAAGAAGTAACTATACTGCCCGGAGGTGCACAAATTGCAATAATTCAGTCGGGTTTCAAGCGTCAATAATCAGGGAAACGAGAGCCAGTCCTGCACCGTGAAAGGTATAACAGGAACTCGCTTTGCAGTTATTATATGTGGGTAAAATTGCATAATACCGCTTCGTTTAAAAGAGACGGTGCCGCAAAATTTGCGTTGGGTCTGTTTCGGCTTTTCTACACGCCAATATAAATGCGAAGCACAAAAAAAGAGAAGAGCGATAGCAACTGTGAAGGTGTAAATTTCGTCCTCGTCGCAAGAGCAAAATTGGCTTAATGTGTAAATACTTCGCGGCCGAGCTCTGTTTAATGGGCAGTAATCCAATCCAAACATTTCCACGAGGGTACTTATGCACTGCTGAATCCTGAATGCCACATTTTTACAAACTGTTGATGAAAAAATTGTAGACAGAATTGCTTCGAAAAATCATCCAACAAAATATTCGCCCCTGAACACTGGGCATATTCGCTCCAGAAAATTCGTTTCTAGAATACTCGCCCATGAGCTTTTTCCCCGCGACGAGTAAGACCCGGCATATTCGCCTCGAAGAATCTCCCCCAGGAAGATTTACTCTTGCCCCCTAGAGATTCGCTCCCAGAAGATCAGCCCCAAGAAATTCCACCCTCTCCTCCCCGAAATATTACCTGAATATTTGCCTCCAGGAAATGCACTCCCGAAAGATTGATCCTTGCACATTCTCTCACGAAAGATTTTCCCGCTGAATATTCTTCCCTGAAAATTGTCCGCGTAAGATTCGCCCCGGGAATGTTACCCTCCAGTCTCGCTCCCAAAAAATTCGACCCCGAACAAATTGCCCCCGGAAGATTCATCCTTAATATTTGCCCTCGGAATTTCCGCCCTTGTAAATTCGCCCCACACATTTCGGTAAATTTCTCCCCGGAAAATTCGGAACAGGAAAAATCCCATGTGGAAAATTGTCCGCCGGAATACTCGCACCTGAACGTTGGTTCTCAAAAAATTCGACCCCAAAAAACTGTGTCCGCAGAAGATCCGCTTTTGAAAATTCGCACTGGAAGATTCGCCTTGAAAATTTGCTCCCGGAATTTTCGCTCCTGGAAATTCGCTTCAGACTATTCAACCAGCCCAGAGAATTCGCTACCGAAATATTCGCCTCTGGAAAATCCTCTGCGGAAAATTCGCTCCGGGAGTGTCCACGCAGGAAAATTCGCCCCTGAAAATTCTCCATTCGATGATTTGCCCACAAAATATTCTCCCTAGAAAATTCGTGCCCGAAAATTGAGCCCCGAAAGATTATTCGCCTCTTAAAATTCGCCCTCGGAATATTCACCTCGGTAAATTGTCCCCCTCCCAGAAGACTCTTCCTAAAAATTCTCCATCGGAAGATTGATAGCTGAAAACTGACACCCTGAATATTCGCCCCCTAAATATTGATTCTCACCTTCTAGAATATTTGTCCAAGACACCCCCTCCCCCAGAAATATTCGCCTCAGAAGGCACCTGAAGATTTGCCTTCAGAAAATTCACTCCGTAAAGAGTCACCCTTGAAAATTCTCTCAGAACAGATTTTCCCATTGGATATTCTTTCCTGAAAAATTGTCCGCGTAAGATTCGTCTCGGGAATATTCTTCCCGGAAGGCATCCCGGTAAATTCCCCCCAGAAAATTCGATACCAAAATATTTGCCCCTGAAATTCTCCATCGGATGAGTTGGCCCCAATATATTCGTCCTAGGAGATTCGTGCCCGAAAATGTGCTCCCAGAATATTCGTCTCTTAAAATTCGGCCTCGGAATATTCACCCTGGTAAATTGTTCCCCTCCCGGAAGATTAGCTACTAGAATGTTTGCCCCCAAAAGTTCTCCATCGGAAGATTGGTAACTGATAACTCGCACTCTGAATATTCGCCCCCTAAATATTGATTCTCAACTAAAGCTTCTAGAATATTTATTTGCCCAAGAAATCCCCTCTCCCAGAAATATTCTCCTCAAAAGGCACCTGAGGATTTGCCTTCAGAAAATTCACTCCGTAAAGAGCCACCCTTGAAAATTCTCTCAGATTTTCCCGTTGGATATTCTTTCCTGAAAAATTGTCCGCGCAAAATTCGTCTCGGGAATATTCTTCCCGGAATGCATCGCGGTATATTCGCTCCAGAAAATTCGTTTCTAGAATACTCGCCCATGAGATTTTGCCTTGCGACGCGTCGGATCCGGCATATTCGCCTCGAAAAATTCGCCCCTCTGAAATATTAGCCTCGGAAGGAGTTTCCTGAAAATTCGCCCGCGAAAGATTTTCCCGCTGAATAATCTTCCCCGAAAAATTACCCACGTAAGATACACCCAGGGAATATTCTCCCCGGAAAATTTATCCTCCAAAGGAATATTCGCACTCAACAAATTCGACATCGAAAAATTTGCCCCCGGAAGATTCGCTTTGAAAATTTACCCCCCGAATTTTTGTCCCGGAAAATTCCCCCGCATAAAAATTTGCCCACACAATATTTGCCCCAGAAGATTAGCGCCTGAAACCCCGGCAAATTGTTCCCTCCCGCTTCTCAAGAAATTCCTCCCTCTCCTCCCCGAAATGTTACCTGAATATTTGTCTCCAGAAAATTCACCCCCGAAAGATTGACCCTTGAACATTCTCTCACGAAAGATTCTCCCGCTGAATATTCTTCCCTGAAAATTGTCCGCGTAAGATTCGCCCCGGGAATGTTCTCCATGGAAATGTCACCCTCCATACTCGCCCCCAAAAAATTCGACCCCGAAAAATTTGCCCCCGAAAGATTCATCCTGAATATTTTCCCTCGGAATTTCCGCCCTTGTAAATTCGCCCCACACTCTCCATTTTCGGAAAATTCAGAACAGGAAAAATCCCATGTGGAAAATTCGGCGCCGGAATATTCGCACCTGAAAATTCGCTCCCAAAAATTTGCCCCCAGAATATTCGCTCCCGGAATTTCCGTCCCTGAAAATTGGCCCCAGACATCCATCCCGGTAAATTCCCCCCAGAATATCCCCTGCGAAAAATTCTCCGCCGGAATACTCGCACCTGAACGTTTGCTCTCAAAAAATTCGACCCCAAAAAATGTGCCGGCGGAAGATGCGCTTTTGAAGATTCGCCTTAAAAATTTGCTCCCGGAATTTTCGCTCCTGAAAATTCGCCTCAGACTCAAAGCGGTCAATTTACGCCAAAAAATTCGCTACGGGAATATTCGCCTCTGGGAAATCCCCTGCGGAAGATTCGCTCCGGGAGTGTCCACTCAGGAAAATTCGCTCCCAGAAAATTCGCCCCTGAAAATTCTCCATTCAATGACTTGCCCACAAAATATTCTCCGTAGAAAATTCGTGCCCGAAAATTGACCCCCGAAAGATTCACCCTGAAAATTTGTTCCCAGATTATTCGCCTCTTAAAATTCGCCCTCGGAATATTCACCTCGGTAAATTCCCCCCCCCCCCCCCCCCGAGAAGATTCTTCCTAAAAATTCTCCATCGGAAGATTGGTAGCTGAAAACTGACACCCTGAATATTCGCCCCCTAAATATTGATTCTAACCTTCTAGAATATTTGTCCAAGACACCCCCTCCCCCAGAAATATTCGCCTCAGAAGGCACCTGAAGACTTGCCTCCAGAAAATTCACTCCGTAAAGACTCACCCTTGAAAATTTTCTCAGAAAAGGTTTTTCCCGTTGGATATTCTTTCCTGAAAAATTGGCCGCGTAAGATTCGTCTCGGGAATATTCTTCCCGGAATGCATCCCGGTAAATTCCCCCCAAAAAATTCGATACCAAAATATTTGCCCCTGAAAATTCTTCATCGGATGAGTTGGCGCCGATATATTCGTCCTAGAAGATTCGTGCCTGAAAATGTGCTCCCAGAATATTCGTCTCTTTAAATTCGGCCTCGGAATATTGACCTCGGTAAATTGTCCTCCTCCTGAAAGATTCGCTACTAGAAGATTTTCCCTTAAAAATTCTCCATGGGAAGATTGGTAACTTTGAATATTCGCCCCCTAAATATTGATTCTCAACTAAAGCTTCTAGAATATTTATTTGCCCAAGAAATCCCCTCTCCCAAAAATATTCGCCTCAAAAGGCACCTGAAGATTTTCCTCCAGAAAATTCACTCCGTAAAATTCTCTCAGAAAAAAATTTTCACGCTGGATATTCTTTCCTGAAAAATTGTCTGCATAAGATTCGTCCCAGGTATATTCTCCCCGGAAAATTCTTCCATCAGACGCTTCGCCACCGGAATATTCACGCCTGAAAATTCGCTTCCAAAAAATTCGACCCCCAAAAGTTCGCTCCTGAAGATTTGCCTCAGAAAATGCTCCATCGGAAGACTCGTCGCTGAACATTCGCTCCTGAAGAGGCGCGTCCACAAAATTCGCCCAGGGGTTACATGTTCAAAAAAGCCGATCAAGCCCAAACCAAGAAGTTGAGGTTTTAAGTCAATGGATCTTAAAGAGTTACGGATGGTCTGATACTGATGGAAGTCAAAGACCAAGGAGTAAGGGTAGAAACAGTACAAAAATCAAGAGGATGAATACTTAGGACCAAGAATTCTGAGAAATTTAGGACACTAATTGACAAGAAACTGGAGAATCAACCACTGTCTGAAACTAAAATGTTTAGGAAATTGCTTTTTATTTATCATTGATTAACTGAATTAATTTTTTATTCACAAATTTTGCTAATATATGTTATTTATTGGGAGCACAACAAGCCTTGCACATTTATTCGTCAACGTTTAACGTCAACTAG